GCACGGATGCAGTTTTTGTAATAAGACAAATAAAAGAAAAGTCGCTGGAATACAACAAACCAGAATTATATGTGTCTGATAGATTAGAAGAAAGCGTTTGATAGAGTGAGAATTCGGGACGCGATACATTTTTTATATGAAAAGGAAATATCACTGGATTTAGTAAAAACCATTGAGAATATATATAAAGATAACATAGCTATAGTAACATGTAAAGAAAAACTATCGCAACCTATCAAATATGAAACTGGCATTAGACAAGGAGATTCGCTGAGCTCATTAATAATTAATCTGATAATAGATGAAATCATAAAGAAAGTTAAAAAAAAGAAGAGGATATAGAATGGGAGAAAAGGAAATAAGGATAATATGCTACGCCGACGACGCCATAATAACAGCCGAAAATGAAGATGACCTACAAAGATTAATTACAGAATTCGAAGATACGGCACTCATACACAACATGGTGATCTCAACAGAAAAAACTAAAGCGATAGTGATATCAGCGGAACCGAGACGATGTAAATTAGTCGTAAATAACAAAATAATAGAACAAGTGATGGAAACTGAATACTTAGGAATAAAACTGTCAAGCTACGGAAAAGTGAAAGAAGTACAAAAACAAGTGAACATGGCAAACAGAGCAGCAGGATGTCCCAACAACAAAATCTGGAGAAACAAATACCTCACAACGGAAACGAAAACCAGGATATATAAATCAAAAATAAGACCGATAATGACGTACACAGCGGAAACAAGAGCAGATACGGCGAAAACACAGACTGCTGGAAACAACAGAAATGAAAGTCTTACGAAAAATAACAAACCAAACTCTAAGAGACAGGGTAAGAAGTGAGGAAATACAAGCGAGATGTATACAGGAAATAAACGCGTGGACCAAAAGAAGAAAAGTGGAATGGAATCAACACATCGAAAGAATGACAGAAAATAGAATAGTACGAATAGCAAGAGACAAATCGCCAAATGGAAGATCATTGGGACGACCGAGGAAAGGATAGTCAGACAACGTCAATTGAGGCTAAAAACAGAAGTAAAGAAGTAAACAGGTATTTAGCCTATTTATAAAGTAGGAAGAAGAAGAAGAAGTTCATATGCTCCTGCAAGGAAAGCCTTACATCTAACGTAACTCCAAGTCTTTAATGAAAGAGACATACTTAAAAAATTTCTCATCAATGAAATAAGTTGTACCAATCCTGTTTACCTTTCGGGTAACACTTATTAACATTTAAATAAAGACAATTCCTACTACTGCAATTGTATGAATGATCAAGATCAGCTTGTAAAGACAACTGATCTCTAAAATCTTCTATAACCCTCCAGAACTTCAAGTCGTCAGAAAATATTAAACACCGACTGCTCAAAAAACAACTCACAAAATCATTAACAAATATGTTGAAAAAAATAGGTGATGTGTGTCCTCCCTGCGGAACACCTGAAGTGGCCATTATTGGCTCTGAAATATTACCAGCAACCTTAATTCTTTGACTACAATCTTAAAACGAATTTTTTACCCATTTAACAAACTGAACATGAATCCAACAGAAAGCAATTTTGCAAGAAGAATTTTATGATCAACACGATCAAATGCTTTACTGAAATCAGTATACCGACACCTGTAGTCGACCCTTGATTTGCTCCATAAGCTCAGACTGATAACAAATTAAATTAGTAGCTGTAGATCTTTTTGCACAAAAACCATGCTTATAAGCGAATATACAGACGCACTATACGTGAAATCAAATCTTAACTGTCTTTCCTTTCCTCATATTTATTTACTATTCTGATGATCTGGCAACGCTGTGAGATAACCGGAAAGTTATACTGAAAATACTATAGGTCATTTGCTGTTCAGATTTCTATTTCACTTAGTATATTAACTAAACTAGGCCTTGTAAAAATGTTTTAAAAGGAGAATTAAATATAAATATAATCCAATGTACTATGTATCTATTAAATATATTTTAACGACTTTGTTTAGAATAACAGTCTTATCAAAAAAATTATAATGAACTCGAAAAAAAAAACATTCAAGCATGACAATGCGACAAAGTTTTAACATTGATTAGATAACGAGTCAATGTACAATGTTCACAATATTATTGCACAGAATATAATTAAATAAATGATGACAGTAACTACCCGCATAATTCTCTCAGTATAATACGTGTTTAAGCTAAAGTTAAAAAATACTTACATACATACATACAAGAGATGATATCAGATGATAATTCGAAATTATATCCGCCAGTACAATATAGTACCTAGGGTTTACATTGGGCCAAAAAGATACATTTAAAACCTGTATCAAAAAGAAAACTGAAAGAAAAATCCAAGCACTAAATATACTAATGGAAAACACAAAAGGGCGAGATCATCAGAGAAGTGTCCTGCTAAGTGTAATACACTCCACTATCCCATATGTTTCACCAACATCAAGACAAGATGTCACATCAAAAAGCACATACAGTACCAAACCAAACCCAATAAAAAGAACCCGATCTTGAAAGTAATAGGCGCAAATTGATGGAAAACTGATAAAGTAACGCCTATATGAATCACAAGAGGACACCAACAACAGGTCAAAAAAGTAATTAGGAATAAAATTTTTGAAGATGAACAAATTAAAGGGAAACAAGCAATGAATTTTTGGACCTAATTAGTTATTAACAAATTAAGGTTAAAAACGGTAAATTTTCACTTTTTTGTCTATCACCAAAAAGTAAAGCGTATGAAACCAATTTAAGAGTAATAAACTTATAAAATCAAATAAAAATATTCAAAATGGCGTTTCTTAAATATTTTTATCCTTGTTTGTTACTTAGAAAGTTGCAAAATAAGTCAGAAACTTCGGTTTTTTATAAATATTAATAACTTTTTAAAAAAGTAACGTAGTACCTTCATATTACACAGAATATTGGTTCTTGAGGTGCTTAAAATGTGATCAAAATTTAAAAACCATCGGTCAAATTATTTAAAAGTTATTTTTATTTGTTTATCCCAAATTATTTTTTTTTGCAACAATTTAAGTCAAAAAATGATGAAGCTATATTAATTCTACGGATAGCTCATGAAAGAAGAAGGATCATTATATGAATTTTGTTAAAAAAATAACGAAAAATGTTCTTAAATAGTGCAAAATTATTTTGCAAAAACATATTAATTTTTGCTTATAATCAATTACAATAACTTTTTAAATGTTGCATTCAGGAAAATTATTTTTTCCTATTTGAAAAACTTGCATTTTTCTACCAGTTTAAAACAAGAAAAAGTGTCTTAGGACAATTTCGGACGAAGTTAGTCACTTTTGTTAAATTGGCAGCAGCTTTGTTTATTACAATTAGTGTCATTTGAAACAACATACTTTAAAGTTTTATTGTGCAAAATTCAAAAAGACTGCTTTTTAATGAAATCGTCGAGAAGGCTTCAAAATGTAGTCCTAAAAATCGGCCGGCTTTAAAACTCGCGGGAGCGTAGGAGGGTTTAACTGTAGCTCTGGTTCTTGTTTATGGATTTCGACATGTATTTTTTTAATTTGTATGGGCTTTTGCGTACATTACGAATATGCATACTTTGCATTTGCAAATTAATTTGTTTAAACAATTTTTCTTCAATTTTTTATTTTTTTTTTAGTATTCTTTAAAGTAATTTCTATTGTAAAACATAAATATTTATGTAACAATAAAACACTGAAAACTTTGTTTTCAAACTTCCACAAAATTTATTTTAAATCTTATCACTACAGCTGTTTCGGCTGATTGCCTTTCTCAAGTTATCTATTTTTGGCTTGGGTTTACAAATTTATAGTCTCTAATGAAATAGGTTGAGGAGGGGAGAACTGTTTGTCTCAAGTTGGTCATTCAGAATTATATCTGTGTTTTTTAATTTGTTGATTTCCATAGATTCTAACAAAGATAGCTTAAGGCCTTTATTTTGAATGTGAAGAATTTTAAATTTGTCATTAAAAGAATGATTATGACCTAGAAGGTGAAGTGCGTATGTCCAATCTGTTTTTCTATTCTTGAAAGCCCTTTTATGTTCTGCTTTTCGTTTATTAAAGTTTCTACCAGTTTGACCGATGTAAATTTTTTGGGCAGTCGCCACATTGAAGTTTGTACACACCACTATTTAAGTGTTTTTTATTTTGGCTCTTGTTATTTTTAATATATTTGCCTAGGTTGTTATTTGTTCGGAAAGCTGGTGTTATTCCTTTCTTTTTTATGTGTTTGGCAATTTTTGTTGTTATTTTGCCTGTATATGTAATTGAGCAGAAGGTACTGGGTTTTTTCTCTGGTGGTGGAAATACTAGTTTCAGGGCTTTCTTGTGTAGTTTTTGATTTAACATTTTATTAATTGTTTGTTCGTTGTATCCGTTGTTTACTGCTATTTGCTTAATTATATTTAATTAAAGTTGTATTTTGACATCGGAATTTCTATTAATCTATGTAACATACTATGATAAGCTGCCAGTTTATGTTGTGTTGGATGGGATATGAATTGTGTATAGTCGTGTCAATATGGGTAGGTTTATGAAATATGGAGAAGTCATGTTTGTTTTGAAGTCTGCTAATTTTTAAATCTAAAAAATTTATGGATTGATTTTGTTCTGTTTCTATTGTAAATTCAATATGACTATGAAGTGAATTAATATACGATAAAAATTGGTCGAGTTGTCTGTTAGTTCCTGTGAAACATACCAGTACGTCGTCTACGTATCTTAGAAGACACAACTTACTGTTGAAAAACAGACAGAGTCATGTCTATATAAGAAAAGAAGAAGAAGAGGAAGAAGAAGAAGAAGATTTTAATTTGATTGCATTAGAAGTAAGAAGAAGTGGATGTGTCAATAAATTTAATATACAAATCTAGCCTAAAATTAGATCGAGACACGAAGCCTCTAGAAAACTCTAAGTAAAAGTTTCACTGACATTATCTCATCCTTAATTTTGACAACTTCTATAAAGTATCAAGTTAAAACTTACCTCCCAGTTCAAGAGTGACGGGTGTCAAGTGTTTGGCAGCTGCTTCTAAGATAATCTTTCCTACTGCAGAAGATCCAGTGTACAAGATGTAATCGAACCTTTGTTTTAACAATTCAGTTGTTTCAGGTACTCCTCCTTCAAAGACCTGGTATGCTTCTGTGTCTAAATACTTGGGAATATATTCAGCAAGAAATTTCGAGGTTGCTGGTGCAACTTCAGAGGGCTTTAACAGAACACAATTACCTGCAGCAATTGCACCTGTAAAAAAAGGAAAAAGATGTAAGCACTAGTAATATAACCTACTTATTTGTCGATGTTAACAGAAATTATCTATAAAAGAATTTATGAAACTTTTGTCTATGAAAGTCAATAAACAATTAGTACTACAATCTACTACAACTAAAGAAAAATTTCTTAAGTGTACACCTAATCTATCTATCTCGGCTTCATGCATAAACATCAAGATTTAGAAATAGACCTTTTATTTTTATCGCTTTTATTAATTTGATTTCATCTTGGTTTTGAATGTTTATTTGATGATTTGACATACTAGAAACTCAGGCGTCTACTCTAGGCTTATCAATATCAACTACAAAGACTGAAATTTGTTTTTTTTTTCAAAAATGGCAATCTTCTCAAAGTAACTTCAAATTAGGAAAAATAGAATTTCCAATCAATTGTGTAAAATATCTAGGCAAATATTTAGATCGTAAACTTTTAGGGAAGGATCAAATTCATTCTATTATAAAAAAGATCTATTGTCTATATAATCTGTTGTAAATTTTTGTAGTACGCCCCTGGTTGTTTATACCAAGAAATATGTGTTTGTCTTTTACGAAAGTTGAGATTCTTAAATGCGTAATAACGCTTCAAATATTTTTTTTTCTCTGTTACATTGTCAGGTTAAAATATAGATGTTTTTATCTCTGTTACAATGTTAGGTAGAAACTCCGGTTAAAATTAGGGTTGCTAGAATAATCAATAATACGTGTATTTCTACCGATTCAAAAGTAAATATACATGATCTAACTGGTAAGTAGGTTTTGTATGTTTTCAATAAAATTGATAGTGTGTAAAATAATTTATTAATTAAGTCAAGTATACTTTCGACATAATAAATGTCATCATCAGAGCTATCGTCAATTAGGCAATAAATACTTCATGTTAAAAAAAAACAGCTGTTGTCGTTGCTGTATGTGGTAACCATGTTTTATAAAAAAGTTTTTGATGTGAATTATACATATGTATAAGGGTTAGACCCAAGATCTGTGGCCTAGAGAGCCCGATCTTCGTTTTTTAATATGTCGTTTGTCCACAATTTTCCTTCTATGAAGTATTTATTGCCTAATTGACGATAGCACTGATGATGACATTTATTATGTCGAAAGTATACTCAGCTTAATTAATAAATTATTTTACACACTATCAATTTTATTGAAAACATACAAAACCTGCTTACCAGTTAGACCTATTTAGAAGTGCGTACAAGTCTTACAGTCTTTTTCAATTTAAATATACATGAGTCCTCTTATATTCCGGTTGAAAAAAAAGTTGTTTTTGTCTTTGAAAATGAGGGTCAAAAGATATTGTTTGTTTTAAGTTTGTAAATGACAAACTAGCTACAAGACGAAAGGGGAAATGGATTGTGGCGTCGAATTTGTAGAATGTAACGCAGATAGAAGTCGAAGAAAAGATTTGAAACTGGGTAGACGTTTGGCGGACTAAGTGAGTCAAACCAGATCAACCGAAAGATGTAGAATGTTGGGTCAATTTTGAATCAAAACGTCGATTCAACTGTTTTTGTGATGTCTTAAGACCAGTCAAAATGATAATACAAAATGATAATACGGTAATGATCAAAACCTGTTTTGATCGTGAGTATGAAAATGGTTTCCTGTTTTACAGTTTGAGAATTTGTCCAAGTAGCTTCCTCAGAGATGTAGCAAGTTTTGTTTCAAAGTTAAGTTCAAAGTTTGTAAATTAAGGTAACAATTCAATATATTATATTTTCTAAGTAAAATAGACATTTTTAAAAATCGCTTTCATTAAAATAAAAGAATTTGTAAATTTGTATAAAAAATAAACACTTGATTTGTTTCTCTGATCCATTTTGTGTTTTAATTTAGAAAAGTCTCCTAACCCTTGTATGTATTTTTGATTGTAGGGAAGAAGCATTTTTCTATTTCCAGCAGGAAGTTTTTCTTCGAAGCGGCGTCCCAATAAAGAAAATAGCTAGAGGTAAATCTTATCTGCCATATCCTATTTCGTTTTTGACCCATGAGATTTATGTAAGTATCCCTTTGTTTTCATTTAGTAGATACCCCAATCCGACCCATTTTATTTCAACTTATCCACGACCCAGCTCTCCAACAACCAAAAAATTGCTCACAGGTCGAGTTGGACTTGTCGAAGAGTCGTTGTAGACCTAAGTCGGAATCCGCAATTAACACTGTATCATCGGCGTATCTGATACTGTTGATATTTACGCCATTCACATTGACTCCATCCTTGGAATCCTCCAATGCTTCTTTAAATAGAAACTCGGACTAAAGATTAAACAGCAGAGGCGACAGAACACATCCTTGTCTAACTCCCCTCCTAATTTCTACTTCTGCGGATGTGGAACCTTCGATCCTAACTCTGGCGTTTTGGTTCCAGTACAAGTTTTTTAAGAATTTGATGTATTTTCCATCTAAACCGACTTCTTGCAAACGTTCTAATAGTAGGTCGTGTCTTACGACCTACGGCATCAAATGCTTTTTCGAAGTCTATAAAGCATATAAATATATCTTTCTGTTGGTCGCAGCATTTTTGGGCGAGAACTAGTAAACTGAACAGGGCTTCTCTCGTTCCCATGCCGGCTCTGAATCCAAACTGATCGTCTCTGATTAAGTTATAAAGTTCATTTATGTATTGAATATATTACGTGTAGAAGAAGCTTTTTCGGTTGGAAAATTGTGGTCCATACCCATCATTTTTCATTTTTAAATTTTTTTTATTAATTTATTAAAATTTAATAATATTAATAACATCCCATTTAATTTGCAAGAAGAACTATATTCACGAAAATCATTCCAATTAGTGCATTTGTTGTCTAAGCTTAGAGCTGGTTTTTTTTTGTATTATGCCAGTGCTCATTGTAATTAGAATTGGAGAATGGTCAGAAGACAATTCAAGATAAGAGTTTGCCAATACTCAATTTTTCAATGTAAATTCGAAATGTGGAATTCGCTCCTTGTAAATTCCAAAGATGACAAGATCCGGGATTTTAGTTCTGTCAGTTGGCCAACAGGTTGGTTCACCTATTGATATGAAATCAGCACTTTTGTTTTCTGTTGCTTTCTGTTGTAAAATATGTTTTGCTTTATAATCACTAGCCACACATCTGTTTCTCCCTTTTTTGGCAGGAGTTTAAATTGGGAAAAAGAAGTAACGTCGGCTGGATTGCTAAGAAGCTGAATGATAAGTCATGCCCAGTTAGGAGGTACCTTCACATGTTACCATCTATACTTTAGGAATGGCTCTTTGATTCAGGGTTTTAGGCTTGCAGCTTGTTAGTATCTGCGAAATCTTAGTGGCGTTTCTTCTAGGGTGCCGAAACACTCATCAGAGAGTTCGTTTCCAGTTAAGTTGAGAAGTTTGGCCGGTAGGAATCCAACTTCTTTTGGAGTGAGCCTTGCGAGTATGCTGTAGACGATGGCATGTAGATTTAGGACTTCTTTCGGTCTGGTGTTAAAGCTTTTTATAGTGCGTATATGGACTCAAAGTGAATGTTTTATGGACAACTCTAAAGTTTCGTTCTTGTTTTGATTGGTAGGTCTGGAATTGGGATTTCTTATCACATATAGTATTATTACTCTGTAACTATCTATTGTTTTCGGTAACATCTTAACCTGATCGAAGTTTAATATTTTAATTTCATAATCATTTTTCAGTATCTGATTTAACAAGTCAGTAAGTGGTGATATGTATTTGACACCAGTAAGAAAAATTGGAGGTGATTTATTAGGTTTTTCATTTTTTCTTTCTCATCCTTATTAGTACCAGTGATTTCTTCTGTATTATTTTCTAAGCTACCGAAACGATTTGATGTAGATAAAGACGAATTAAGCTAATAATTATTTATTTTTGTTTGTTTTACTGCTCGATTATAAGGACTTCCTCGGTTTCTTTTTTGTTGGATCTCCTACAGTTTTACATTCGTCCGTTTGAGACTGAAATATTCGTTACAAGTTGTAAAAATATAAAGGATTGCTTTGTATTTGTTTGCAACACACATATGTGTGTTTGCTGGATACGCCACTGGTTGCGGTAAGGCATTTCCTTGTTGGTGATACATCGCTGTCGGTACCTGGCTATTATAGTACGCTGGAGAATTTGTTTGGAAATTTTGTTATCGTGTAGGAGTTCGGATTGAAGGCCATTTCGGATGTGTACTAATTTATCGAGCTTATCACTTGTCGCAATATCACAATAAACAAGAACTGAATGGTTTTGTTTTTTGTTATTTTTAATCGGGTATTTAAATGATAACTAAGCTTACAGGTCTTTGTCCTTCCATACATTTTTTAAGAATTATTTATTTTTAGTTATCCCGTGACCACAAATTATTTGTTTAGCCTTTCATGCAAAGCTTCGATAAATATTCTTTCAGAGTACAACCAAAATACAGCTTTGTCTCACTCCACTCATGATTTTCACATAGTCAGTGTGTTCACCTTCAACTCTGATATTTGCTGTCTGATTACAGTAAAGATTTCTAATTATTTTCAGATCTTGGTTGTTAATTCCTGCTTCTTTTAGTATTTGGATCATCTTGGCGTGCTGTACTCGATCAAACGCTTTCTCGTAATCAACCAGACATGCGTATACGTCGCAGTTGACGTCTCTGCATCTCTGAAATAAGACTTGTACTGAAAACAAAGGCTCTCTAGTACCAACAGCATTTGTGAATCCGAACTGGTTGGGGGAAATTTGACTTTCACACAGCTTGTAGATTCTCTTCAAGCGCAATAAACTCAGATTTCAGCCATTCTGTTGGTATTTCACCAGAGTTGTATATGTTATTGAATATCTTTGCGATTATTGCTATTGATTTGTTGTCATTAGTTTGAGCAGTTCTGCTTGTATGTTATCAGGGCCTGCCGCTTTGCAATCCTTTAACTGTGTTATTGCGGAATAAACTTCCTGCTGTAATATTCTTCATCCATCATTTACCTCTTTTTCTAACTCAAAGGTGTTATCTCTTTGATATTCAA